GGGTACTCTGGGCTGCTGCCGTGTGTACTTGTGTGTGTATACAGGATCTGTGTGTGCATAAATGTTGTGTGTAAAAGACAGGCTAACCTTTCGTCAGAGGAAATGTCACTGAAACAAAGTGACATACTGTATGTGCAGCTGTGCTTTGCATGAAAGGTGAGCATGTGTCCTCTCCTCCATTCTTCTTCTTTCCTGCCTCATTTTACATTCACACCATTATGGTCTATTTTAAACACAGCCTATGGTTCAGTAGCATTGTAATTGTATATCTCACTGCGGAAAGGCTCAGGGGTTGCTGCAGTAAAAAGATGATGTCCTGTCTTCATTGAAGGTATAGACTTTATTTTAAATGTCTGAATCCTTCGTTGCCTTTTTTATTGTTTTATTTTTGTATATTAGAAAGATTCTCAGTCAGTTGTCACCTGTCGGTGTCCATAAACTATATAAAGATCATTTTATTCTTGCTTTGGTCTGAATGTGTGCAATGAAAAATCAGAGCTGTGTCTGCTGAACTGAGTCCTGTTGCAAGCATTTTAAAATGCTGCAGCAAGTCCTGAAACCGAGTGTTATAGTTTCAAAGTTTAGTTTATTTTATGGCTTTTTTCAACCTAATATAGTGACATTTAATGTTAGAATTTATTTTCTGCTGAAGGCTGTGGGAAGGGGCGTTGTATGGTTGTATATGTTACAAAGCCCTAAGGCAAATTTTGTGTTTTAGGCTGTACAAATGTTGGAATAATGTACGCTCAGGACCAGTTATGCAAATAGTTTTTTTTACTACCACCCCAGTAACTCCGGTGACCAGATGTTCATATATTTTAAAGTGAATCTCAACATAAAATCTGATTTTTTTGTGTGAAAATGGAGAAAGTCAAAAGTATTTCTGATAATCTGAGAGATCTGTGAGTATCATTTAAACATTCAATTCAGTTTTATTTATATAGCTCCAGATCACAGTGAGAGTTGCCTCAAGGAGCTCTGTATTGTAACGCGGAGACAATAATATGAGAGAAAAACAGGAACAATCAGAGGATCATCTATGAGCAAACACTTGGCCACAGTGGGAAGGTAAAACCCTTTTAACAGAGGAAACCTCCATCATAAGCAGGCTCAGGGAGGGACGGGTGTTTGCCACAAGCCGTTGGGGGAGAGGGGAGGAAGACAAATACACTGTGGAAGAGAACCAGAGGTTAATAATAACTCGTGATTAAATGCGGAGAATAAACACATGCGCAATGAAAACAGGTGAGTGAAGAAGAAACACTCAGGGAGGGTTCAGGCTCACCCGATCTGGCCCTATATGCTTTATCAGAAAGTAAAGTCGAATCTTAAAAGTAGAGATGACGTATCTTTTCTTTTGATGTTTTAAAGAAGAGGGGCCTGAAAGCTGAAGGCTCTGCCCCCTAGTCTTAGGAACTACAAATAAGCCAGCACCCTGACAGAAAAGTGTTTTATTGTAGTGATATGGCACATAGGCTACGTTCACACTGCAGGTCTTAATGCTCAATTCTGATTTTTTGATCAAATCCGATGTTTTTGTCTGCTTGTTCACACTACAAATAAAATGCAACATCAAACGCGCTCTAGTGTGAACCCTCAAAGCGGCCCGCATGCGCAAAAGAAGACGTCACACATTTTCTGTTTAGACCCAGAGCAAACAATATTGTTTGACTGATGGCCCTTAATTTAAAGACTTCAGACTTCACGTTTCCCAATTTTTGCTTTAAGTTATTTTGTTATTTACATAATGATAAAAATAACAAAATAATCATCCTTACTGCTGTTTTAGAGGAGCGGTGCTTCAAAGGATAGTTGCAGATTTCTGTCAGAATCTGCAGATTAT